CATCCTCTGTGATAACTGATATATTCCTGTATTAACATTAAAAATAATGATAATAATAAAATCTGAGAAAAGATAAATTTGGTAGTGCATTTCTCTCTGACCAAATCTATTATAATGAGTAACTTTCACAATGATTTAAAATACATTTGATTTAAATCATCATCAATGTTCACATTCATTTTCCATGCCCGCAGGGTTTTCCGCAATTAACTGATGGCAACTGCTGCGTGAAACCAGAATGGCATGCCCCCCCCCCCCTTTCCCTCCCACTGCAAACCCAAGTACTGCCCAGAAAATACAGCAAAGACCAGGTGATGGGCACAGCTTCGGTTACACAGTTGTCATCAGGTACACTGAGGCAAAGTTACTACAGGGTGGGAGCAGCTGGTCCCTGAGGTAATCAAAGACTATCTGCCTTAAACTGAATTTAAAATTTAAATAATACATTAAAGATTAAAACACAAAATCCATTTTCATCTCTGAAGGGAAAAGGCAAGTGACCTGCAAGCTCACTCCCAAAAGACCTCCCATCAGACCTTGCCTTGTCCAAGGAGTTTTCTGCATTTTACTGGCAGGGACAAAGTCCTGAGAATCAATGTAAACTGTTGCACAGGAGGTACTCAGCCAGTTATCAGGGTTTTTAAATAACCCATTGGATGCTTAATTAGCAAAAATGCAAAAATACGTGACACGGTATTGCTTAATGCACATACAGGTAGTTCTGCTATAACGCGATAATTGTGTTCTTGTAAAATATCGTGTTATAGAAAATCGCGTAATATAAATAACAGGGCTTATGGAGAAAATAGGGTTAGGTGCAGATTACTCGAAATCGAAAAAATTTAGTAGTTAGCCTAGCACAAAGGATAGCACAGTCTAAATAAATGTTACATTCATATCTAATAATGAAATCATACAGTAAATGTAACACTTTACTTGATGGGGGAGAAGGGTGATTTTGAGGTTGATAAAATCGAGCTTCTCTTCAAGTGTTATATCCTTTCTTTTACAATCATCACCGGGAATTCTATCACCAGAACGCTTCTTGTTGATATTCTTCTTTACTATATTCACAGTTAATACAGTGGGGTATGCTATAACGAACGGATCCTACTATGAATATTCCGATAACGAACGGTTTTACCTATAAAATTGAGAATGCTATAACAAACGAAACTCCTACAACGAACATAATTTAATTTTTTTTTTTCTAATTTATTGTTTTATTATTACAAATATTAATGATATTCTTTATTTCAGGGGTTTAGATGCATATTTATGCACTTTTTACAATTTTTACAATTTTATATTATATTTTTCAGTGTTAAGTGGTTGTATTTGGGGGCCTGGAACGGATTAATCCTATAACAAACGAATGCTATAACGAACAAGGTTCTAGAACCAATTAGATTCGTTATAGCATACCCCACTGTACCACAAAATTGGAGAAATAGTAAGCAAAAATCGCGTTACAGCAAACAAGCGTTCGCGTTATACAAATATCGTTCCTAATTCATAAATCGTGTTAGAGCATATTCGCGTGATCAAAACACGCGTTATAGCAGACCTCACTGTACTTGAAGTGTAATTTACATACTTTGCTGTATATCATAGCCAAAAGACATACGGTACTAAAAGAAATGTCACTGTGCAGTACTTAGACTAGATAACTGAAAGTAGCTGAATAAGTTGAATAATTTAGCAATATCATGGGAAAGACTTTTTTACCTTCCAAACTAAGACTGCGAATAACTATAACAAATTATCTGTTTTCCTTATGCAAGGGTGACAGACTCACTGTCATGTAAAATAATCAATAGCCATATTGAAAGGTTGAGCTAAGGTGTATGGTATCACTAAATGCATCACACTTGTGCCACATCAGCCCTTAAGCACTAAGGCCAAAAGTAAAGAAAACATCAATACTTTCAGGGTTAACAAAACCAGATCTGCCATAAAAAACATCACTCATTAGAAAAAAAATGTCCTGTATGGCTGAAGCTTATATCACAATGATGTGAAACAACAAATGTGGAAATGACAATTATTCCTATAGAGAACCACTATGAGCACAGCACAGTTCAGGCAACACAAGTTGACAGTAGACTATCAGAAGTAAAATGTGAGGATTTAAAGCACGGAAATTTTCTTTATGGTTTTGAGTTTGAAACTGTAGTAAGCTAACTGTAGGGTTCATTCTTGTGTACTTAATAGCTGGCTTGCTTTCAGGGCAACCATAAGGCTGGAGTTGGCACTTGATTTTTAATCCTTAATTCAACTGGGCAAACAGATGCAGCAATTTACACACATCCAACAAGACCACATCCCTCCTATTGCAATTCTGATAACCCCCTCTGGACAATGCTGTTCTAATGCCTTAAAATCAGCTATACAGTGTTGAAATAGGATTTACCAGCATTAGTGACAGCTCGCTCTTCTGCTTGCTTGGGACTGAAAGTTGGCAATCGCACCCTGGACTCATTTACAGAACACTGACAATGAATCTGTGCACTTCCCCATGCAAGAACTTCACACACATCACTGAAACAAAATTTAAACATACAGTATCTAAAATAACTCCACTTTGTTCAAAATATATTGTAACACTAAAGTGGATAGCTGTGTCATAAGAAGTCACAGCTGTTAATATGTTACTGATAAAGATTGGTGGAGAAGTTAGAGAAGTTATGACAAGCAATGCGTCCTGATAAACGCTTGAAAACTAAAAGAAGGAAAGAATTTACTTCTGAAACAATGTAAAGATGAAAATGATTATGGTACAGGTAACCCACGAGATACAATATCCCGAGATGCAATATATCACTTTAAAGATGGTTATAAATTAACATCTTCTCACGATCAAAGCAACTTGCTTTAATGATATCCACCTAATAACCACAGATATCCATTGGTAGGAATTTTATTTTCTCTAGTGCAAACTATGATGGGTTGTTTATACTCAAACTAATCTTTGTCTCGCAAGGATTCCAGCAATGAAGGTTATATTTTTCTACGTCAAGTCAGTGTCATTTTATAAGGAACAATATTTAACTCAATGCACCACACATCTCTACCTTCACCTGTCGGCCTACCCACGCACCGCCACACGGCCAACCCGCACACTACAGCCGTGTTTGGTTCTTTGTCCATAGTAAATCCGACATCGCGCGGCTCCATGATTATCGGTCAGCATTGTACAGTATAATGTATTTATCGGCAGTGTTTTTTTCCCCTTATATAGTGAGAGGGCAACACTAACATTTAGACTGAACTGTGTTATGGTGGCTGTGAAGTGACATTTTCTGTGTCATTGTGATTATAAGTGTGTCGACTGTTGCTTTGAAAATGTGAGCAGTGTTGGCCACTATCATTGTTTTTGTTATCATCGTTCACTCTGTTTTTGTGACAAGTTGTTTTGCTCTGTTTTTGTGACTGTGAAGTGAGGTAAAGCCTGACATTGTTAACCCTTTAGGTGCGTAATTAAATTTCGCGCCGGTTCCTGAAAAGTGTCAATTATCCTGCCAAAAATGAATTTCATATAATCACATTTTCTATATGTTTTTCCTAGAGAACTTTTAGTATATTTTCCAAATCTGGAACAAAAATTCACATATGTGTGCAAATTTTAGAGAAAAAATGACATTTATACCCAAAAATGCAGGAAATTGGTATAAATCAATGTCTGGTATATGGCAAATAAATTTAATCAATTTGGTTACTAAACAGCAAATTTAGATATGTATTACATATTCAGATAATATCAAACAAAATAGTACAAAAATAAGCTATATTGCATTCAGGAAATACTCCTATACCTCAATACATAATATGTCCGCATGTCGTCTCATTTGGGGAAGTTTTTTCAAGGCCGTGGGATATCCCCGCTTGTCGCATTTAATTAATATAATATTTTGGGCGGGTTTACCCGCATGTCGCATCCAAAGGGTTAAGCAACATGAGACTCCCCAGAGGCTGTGTAAGAGTCAGCGTAACGTCTCCACTCCACCCACAAGAATCACCTTAGCCTCGAAGGGAACATGTGATAATGAACAGGCTTGTTCTTTATGATGTGGTGAGTGTTGTTTAATTGTTTTGGATTGTAGGAAATTTTTTGTCGATGATACATGTGTGTCTGGGGACTGGCTGGGAACGTATCACATTGAATCCCACGTTATAATGCTCCCTGTCTATAATATTTCACCTAGCGGCAGGTTTTTCAGGAACCTAACCCCATCATATCTCAGGGGTTACCTGTATATGGAATCTAGCAACAGTTTAAATATTGATGAAAGACATTACATAGTTAAAGCAGATGAGTAATTTTCAGGCCTCTAAGAGCAGAGAGCTTAGCACTCTTCCTTATTATGAGTATTTTACATGCTAGAACAGTAAGCCTTTCCTTAGATTCTCTGACACATTCACCACTCCCCTGTACCAAGCATATTCTAAGGCAAACACTTTCAAAAACACCATTCTCATCAGTATTATAAATTTGCAAAATCAGTTGGGCACTTTTCAATTGCGTTATTATGGGCAAATGTTTGGTCACAACTACCATAGTTATTAATTGACAAATACAAAACATGAGATGGGTCTGCAAACTAATCCCTTTCCCTCTGAGATTTCTGCTTTCTTGAAATTTCCATGGATTTTCTAATCTTCTGAAATAGTAAAAACCTTCATTAAATTTTTCAGATAATTGACAGAGTTCTAGATACTGTACTTGAGGCTGTATTATAATACAGTATAACTGTACAAGTATCTACACTAGGCACTTTAAAAGTTAGGTAGAGAAAACTGGGGACAACATAGAAGGGTTAAGGAGCCAGCTGTATACTATAGAGATAGTCCAGCTCAGGTACACAGTTGAACCTCGATTTACGCGGTTCTCGTTCACGAGTTTGGTCATTTATGCGGTACCTTGCCAGAACCGGGATGCCCGATTTACGCGGTGAATTTACTCATTTACGCTGGTGAAGTATAATTTGTTTATTTACTGAAGATATATATGTTTTTAGCTCATAAAATATATAAGTTACATTGCTGAAATCCTTACAAGATGGTGATCATTTTAAATATAAACATCTTAACATTTGCATTAGACATGCAAATTTTAGATGTAATTTAAGATCATGAAAATAAGCTAATATTTTATTTTTTGTGCAAAATTTATAAAGTTTACATTCAAAATATTCCCTGACCTGCAAGGAATCCAGAAATGTCATTTATATTATCTTAACTTTAGTCTGAGGTATTATTTATTACTATACCTTAAAATCTAGTGTTTTCACCCAAACATTTCTCAGAGAGGGAGGAGCCAGCGAGCGTGGGAAGAGGGGGGGGAGAGTTGAGTCCATTATTTGAATGGACATTAACCTGGCGACTGTATTTCTCTTAAATATTAATTGTGTGTGCATACCATCATAAAATTAAGATGTTATTTTTACTTCAACGTAGGTATTATGTCGATTTTGTGTCGGAAAAAGTGGAGTTTGGGAGTCGGCCCAGTCTCTTATTTCAATTAAGCCCATATGTTCTGTTATTCCATTTACACGTTTCTCGTTTTACGCACTACTCAGCGGGTTCAATTAACCGCGTAAATTGGGGTATTACTGTATCTGGAAGAATGTCAAAAGAAGAATTAAAAAGTACAGTAATACCCCGCTTAACGCGGTTTCGCTTAGCGCGATTTCACGTATACGTGGTGCCTCGCCAGAGCCGAACTTTCACTTAACACGGGTTTTTTCCACGTATACGCGCAGAGTGTCAGGCTCGAGAAGCTATTTTTAGATTCGCCCCACCCGCCACCCTGCCTGCCTGCCTGTTTTAGCTCATAAAATTCATACAAATTACCCGGCCAGAATATAATTTACATTGCTGGAATTCTTACAATATTATGATCATTTTGAATATAAACATCATAGATTTTGCATTAGACATACAAATTTTAGATATATTAGTTGTACCCCACTTAACGCGGTCAATTGAACCCAGAGGGTCCGGCGTTAAGTGAAATCCGCGTTAAGTGAACAACAGAACATATGGGATTAATTCCAATAGAAACCGGCCCGACCCCCAAACTCCACTTTTTGAAGGCACATACCTATGTTGTAGTAAAAATAACATCTTAATTTTATGATGGTACATGCACACAATTAATACTTAAGAGAAATAGAGAAATACAGTCGCCAAGTTAATGTCCATTCAAATAATGGACTCAACTCCCTCCCCCTCTCACACTACACAGCCGGCTAACAGATGGTCGGTCGGTCCCTCCCTCCCCCCACCCACCCCCCACCAACCGTCCCAAGGAGATGTGTGGGATAACCTCAAACTAAAGTTAGGAAAATATAATTGACATTGCTGGATTCCTTGTAAGACCAGGAATATTTTGAATATAAATGTCATATATTTTGCACAAAAGATAACAGTTACCTAGAGAAAAATTTTTATCTAAAAATTGTAAGTTTAAAGCAAAATATATGATGTTTATATTCAAAATGATCACCAAATTATAAGAATTCCAGCAATGTAAATTATATTCTGACCGGGTAATTTGTATGAATTTTATGAGCTAAAACAAATATCTTCAGTTAATAAAAAAAAAATAATCTTCACGACACTATCTGTCAATCAAAGTACCCCACCTTGCCTCCCCCCTCTTCCAACCGCGCGGTCAGTCCCAACCCTCCCCCCCACCCCCCACCAATCCTCCCTTCAAGAGTTTTTAACATTTTGTATTAAATAATACCTCAGATTAAAGTTAGGATAATATAATTGACATTGCTGGATTCCTTGTAAGACCAGGAATATTTTGAATATAAATGTCATATATTTTGCACAAAAGATACCATAGTTACCTAGAGAAAAATTTTTATCTAAAAATTGTAAGTTTAAAGCAAAATCTATGATGTTTATATTCAAAATGATCACCAAATTATAAGAATTCCAGCAATGTAAATTATATTCTGACCGGGTAATTTGTATGAATTTTATGAGCAAAAACAAATATCTTCAGTTAATAAAAAAAAATAATAATTCTTCACAGGGTAACAGATGGTCGGTCGGTCCCTCCCCACCCCCCACCAACCGTCCCAAGGAGATGTGTGGGATAACCACTAAATTTTAATAAATAATACCTCAAACTAAAGTTAGGATAATATAATTGACATTGCTGGATTCCTTGTAAGACCAGGAATATTTTGAATATAAATGTCATATATTTTGCCCAAAAGATACCATAGTTACCTAGAGAAAAAATTTTATCTAAAAATTGTAAGTTTAAAGCAAAATATATGATGTTTATATTCAAAATGATCACCAAATTATAAGAATTCCAGCAATGTAAATTATATTCTGGCCTGGTAATTTGTATGAATTTTATGAGCTAAAACAGGCAGTCAGGCAGGGTGGCGGGTGGGGCAAATCTAAAAATAGCGTCTCGGACACTCACCGCGTATATGTGGAAAAAACCCGCGTTAAGTGAAAGTTCAGCTTTGGCAAGGTACCGCGTATATGCGAAAACGCGTTAAGCGGGGTAA